TGATGGGGCCTGGGGGCCGAGTGGACCCCAGCCTCCGCCGCCCCGGCCAGGCCGTGGTCGGGGATGGGCTTGGTGAGCGCCCCGGGAGGCAGGCTGAGCGCTGGGAAGAAGGAAGGCTGCGCGGCCGCTAGGAAGGCGGACATGGGGAAGTCGGTCGGCCGGTGTGCGTGGAAAGGGTGATAAGCCATTGCAGTCCCTGTAAAAACTGGATCTCTCATCGGTGCATCCACAAAAACCGAAGTGAGATAATGGATATTTAGTGGTATTTTCCCCAACTGTGACCCAGTGTAGGTGCCCGATTCGCGAGCAGTTAATTTCTGTAAAGCGGTACAGAAGAGTACAGCGCCGTGTTAAGTAGCCCAGAGTCGCCGTTGATGTGCTTTCCCCTTGGTTCCTCCGCAGTCCTTCAGTAGAAGCGGCGCCGTGAAGGCAGAGCCCGGCTGCGCTGTGTGGCTCTCAGGGAAATGAGCTGTTTCTCTGCTTCAGTCATCCCACACTGACTGGAGAGATGTGGCCCCGTTCACTGCAGATCTGTGACTATCTCACATGTCCTTCCTGCCTCCATCCCGAGCACTAATGAACCAAGCCCCTTTGATTGCTGATTTTACGCTTTCTGGACCAATTGTGGGCCCCTATAGGCGTGGTTCTGACAGCTCTGGCCAGACTCTAGGAGAAGGAGGGGGGCAAGAAGGTGTCGGAAGCATTAGCAGTAAGAAAACATGTCAACAGAATAAAATATTAACCAATGACAGGAAAGATCGGGAAATCCCACCCCCATTTCCAAGCCAAGCACCGGGTCAGCGCCCAGTTCTTGGCCGGTGGAGGCATCACCTCTCTCGGCTTGCGTTTATACAGTGTCGCCTCCGGACAACCGGTCCACGCTCACAGTTTTAATACTCACCTTTATACAGAGGAACAGCTCCAGCTCTCCACGTTTACCACTGTCTTTTAGAACAGCTCACAACAGTAAATCCACGCCTCGGAGCTCAGGCTCTGCGTGCCGGAGAGATTTACCTCAGAGCTGCTGTTCTCTCGGCCACTGTGTAATAAGAGAATTGTAATTATTCCATGTTACTGGCTATTTTCACCCTTAGGTTGGATTTACCACACACTAGCCTAAGCTACGTTAGCTGTGTGCATACTGATTTCAGCCTCATACCGCCCTGGCTTCCCCAAGTGAGAGCCGTTTATCTGTGCCTTTTCCGGTTCGAACTGACTGGAAGGCTACAGCAGCAGCAGCGTAATAACGAGGCAAAGCCTGGAAAAGACAAACCCAGATGCTGCGTGGAGGAAAAAAGAGGAAACCAGATGAATGATGATGAATGAATTTTCAGATGAAACTCAGGGAGAAGGAAAGCGGTGAGTGCACACTTCGATACAAACATTTCCTTGCTTGGCTGCAAAGTTAGGCTAAGTTTCTTGGCTACTTCGTGGCATATTTACAGTTTTAAATGCGGCTAAATAATATCATTGTCATTGCAGTTGTCTCACTCCTGTTGTTACGGTGCTGTTTGACGCCGCGGTGATTTTTTTTTTCAAGTGCACAGCTTGTATTTCCACATCAAACAGTCGCAGCGATGAGATGATTTAGTGCTCAGTCTCAGAGCTATGGGCAAGCCGCGGTAGCGTGTAATCTCCGACAGGTTGTATTTTGTCAAACCAGGACAGTGCGTGGCTCCGGGAGCCACGGGGGGCCCTCCAGCCTTCCAGCCTTCCTCCAGTCCGCTCTGTTGAGCTCCTTTAGATAAATCCAGCGCCGCAGCTACTGATTGCTTGTACTCAGTTTGTTAAAGAGCCGCTCGGCGCCAGTCGGCTGATGCACCACAGTAAGAACAGTCTCTTGTCTCTTTACATTTACCCTGAAGTCTAGCATGTGCGATCCCCTCCAAACGCATCAGCAGCTTCATCTGCGGCTTTGCTCCACTTTGTGCCTCGGCCATGACTCGGTGTCAGATGTGAGCTTTTCTTTTCTTTTCTTTTTTGGTAAACATATGCTGTCTCCGGGCAGGACGGACCGTGATGTGGGCCACAGGCGTCACTTCGACACAAACTGAAACAAAAAGTGATAATCCTCCTGAATGAGACTGTTAGAGGCAACTGCGCATTTCATTTTAACCCCTGGAACCAGCCGCGTCTCTGCGGCGCTTGACAGCCGTACAAAACTCCCAGTGGCCACAAAAATGTGTTGAATAATATATAACCTATAAAACACCACTTATTAAAACATAAAATTCATCCAATAAAATTCATAATCGACCACTAGAGAACCATAGGCATATAACAATCAAATCGATTCATAGCGTTTAAAAAAGACAAAGGGTAAAAATTGTTTAATATCCATAAATGCGACCCAAAATAAAACTCCAGAAAGTTACAGCCGCCCGCGCTTGTGGCAGAAACAGCATGTTACGTGATGTAAGAGCATGAAATGTTTGCACATCTCTACATCTCTACACACTTGTTGCTGGGCGTCCATCAGAGTGATACAGCCATGCGTAAAGAGTCAGCAGGTCAAACAGGAGCAGCTACAGCTCAACATAGCGCACTATATCTGACTGAAGCCAGTTTCTACACGTTCTACACATTAGATCAGACACAAGTCCCTGGAACATCAACTGCCTCACAGTGCAGACAGCAGCAGCAGTCAGTGTTCAGCGACAACGTGGAAAAGTGTATTTTCAGCCAGCCAGGTGTTGGGCACAAATGCCAATCATTAACTTCATATGAGAATAATATCACCCAGAATGTCCTCCACATCACCTCGCGATTTTCTTCAGTTATAGTGACTGTTATACCATGATTTGTTGGGAGTGCGGCATCTTAAGATTTATCAAATGACAAAGATACAGGAGCCGCGGGGTAGCTGTCAAGGTGTGCAAGCATGGAGTGTTACTGGAGAGAAATAAAAGACTGGCAACGTATGGGGGTAGATAACTGTTTTACTACCGGAATACTCGGCTGGATAATTGTATCAACAATGCTTGTGCAAATTAGTCGCCAATTATTTGTTCTGTGCCGTCAGCGGCACAGGAATCTCCATTACGTGAGATTTAAAAATCATTAAGTGGAGGGAGGACTTCTGTGAGCAGAGCTGCACGGAAAGGGCATTGTGTTGATAAATGAACATACCCTCTGATGGGAAACATATTGTAAATATGCTCCTTAGACTTGTCTGGGAATGTCCTGGGTGTCTGGATGTGAAGGAGAAGCAGTCATTTAGGAGACTAGAAGATCTTGAAAAGATTTGCAAAATGACTTTGAAAGATTTAAAAACAGGAACAAATTCAGAGGTTTGGGCTTTCAGCCTTCATGACATTGAAACATTCTTCAATGTATCCCCAAAAATGAGTCACAATAAGCAGACCTAAATTTAAGATATTTGATAGAGTTTTCAATCACTCTACAAGCCGGGATTGTGCCTATTTACTGTAAATGAACCGCATGCATGACAATTTCTATACAGTAGGAAATTGACTAAAGCTTTTCCGTGTCCTTGAGCCGCCCGCTCAATACAATACAGTACAAATGCAGATGTGAAAATGTGCATAAGAAGCGTCTTGTGGCCCTGTGAGTTGGCCCGTGTCAGCGATCCCAACCAAAGACACTCTAATTACAACATAACGGCACAGTTTCCCCTACATTCGCCTATAATCGAGTATTGTTATTTTCTTTCTCCCTTCGACATTGTTCCTTTCCTCCTTTCATCTCCCCATCTTCTCCTCCCATCTCCCTGCATCATCTCTCCAGCTATATTTAGCGGCTAGACTGGGGCCTTGGCGCCAGACCGTTTAAGACCTGTCAAAGTCCCTCATATTTCCCCTTGTCACATGGAAACCCAGCGACCAGCGGCCTTCTCCTCTCCTCCTCGTCCTCCTTTTCTCTTTAACCTCCCCCCCCCCACACAGCAGCCCTCCTCCTCCTCTCCTTCATCTCCTCCACTTCCTCCAGTTCACTCTTCTAAATTAAACATATCAGTTCTCACTTGTAGGAAAAGCAAAAATGTTTCCTCAATCCTGTCCCAAGACGCACACACACTATCACTACAACAGGCCGAGTATATGAAAGAGATGCTTTTTGGAACTGGATGAATACCTGATGCATCACAGCTCTGCTCTGAATGCTCTAAAGCATTTTTTTTTTCCTGGACATGACTTAATGACAAACTCAATCACGAACTACAACCACTCATATCGAGCTATACCTGCCAGAGCTGTTTCACCCTCCTACCCTCCCGCTCGTGTCTGAATCGCAGCCACGGTGTTTTATGACCCGTATGAATGACAGGTAGACCACCAGGCGGGGGCGCTATAGTGAGCGAAAGCAGCCAGACGAGCGTGACAGAACTGTCACACTCACTGGCGTTAATGTAGCTAAATTACTGATGCTGTAGACGCTCAGGTGGACTCATCAAACCACAACATAAGATGTATGTTTCACAGAGCCTCATTGAAAGTTTTGACTTCATTTAGTGTTGATTTTTTACATTAATGCTGAATCTCACATCGTGTCTTATTGGGACACATTTCAGTCATTTTAATTACAGTGAAACAAGGCCAAAGTTTATAAAACTAAGAAGCCACATGGACCCTTGAATGGCCTTGAACCACACGTTGCAATCCGCTGAGAAGTCAAATCAGTTTGGCCATAGGTGAATGACTTACGCACTGCAGACCTGTGCGCCCCAGTGTGTGTGTTTATCCAGTGTAAAACAAACGGGACCACTGGATGTGACCTGCACTTCCAAGAAGATCCTGATGATATTAACGGCTGCCTCAGTTGTTTCACATAGATTTAATAAAACACCCTTCTCGTAGTGTGGTTGCTGGTCAGAGGTGAGCTTCCCCTAGTGCCTCTGAGCACAAAGCGCCGTCAGGTCTGAATGATGTTTTTTTTTTTCAACCACCAGAAACAATGTATTTTTGTGTATGTGCATCAAATTTTAAATACAAGGAAAATAACCATGAACCTTCTTAGACAACTTTCACGAATCCCCGAAACTGATAGAAACTACTGACACCGGAAAGAATCCTTCAAAAATAAAGAGGCATCTGTGCACGCCAAGTGGTCTTAAAACACGCTTCCAATTTCCAGGTTTTGAAAAGTAACTTGTTGTATTATTTCCCATTTATCCACATGTTTTTATTTTAGACATTTTTTTCTATTGATTTGCTGAAACACTTTTATTTTCAAAGTAGACCGATTTATTCTGCGCAATCGGGACACTAAAACTCTCGGGACTTTTCTTTCTATTTTTATGCGTACGTGTATGAGTGCCAGTATTGTCTTAAAATTAAAAATCTGCGCTGTTTTTAACGGCGTCAAGCAAATGAAAGAGAGGGACTGTATGTTTGTGTCCAGGAGAGCACCTCCAAATAAATCAGTAGAAATTTAAGCAGCGGGCTTTTAAAAATATTGCGCAGCTGAACTTATTTATTACTACAACCTTTTTCAAACCAGAAAAACCATCTTTTGTATGTCTTGCAGATGTGTTGACACTTGGAGAAATTGAATTAGCAGCTGCAGCGCCGGAAACACTGAATCACATTAGAAGAGGAGCAGAGGAGCAGAGGCTACCTGCAGGACGGGGGAGAGGAGCTTTACTGCACACA